CCAGAGTTTATAATTGCCTTACTTTTCAAAAAGAGTGTGCAAATATGTGTATGTATTAACTATATATAATATTTAAGTTTATATGTGTATATATGTCTTTTAGCATACATAAATATGCTGAATATTACACCCGCACATAATTCACAATGCATTCCTGGCAACCAGGGCATAAACTTGAATGCTAATCTGAGGAACAACCCAAAAGTAAATTTCAGAAGAACTGTCTAAGAGGATGTGTGATATGTGAAGTAGTGTGAGCTCAAGGCTCATCTGTCACACAGAGTGTTATCATTAATGTTCAAAGTTGCTGAATCAAGACTAACAATTGATGCATAGCATTAAATTCCTAAGAAGACTTACAAGAGATTGCCCTTGGTCAAGGTTGGGAGAGTTGTTCCATTTTAGTTTAAGTGTGTTAAATCTGTGTGTATATACGTTAATTAAAATCCTAGCTGGGCGGTGGTGGTGCATGCCTTTAATCCCAGCACTCGGAAGGCAGAGGCAGGTGGGTCTCTGTGAGTTTGAGGCCAGCCTGGTCTACAGAGCGAGTTCTAGGACAGCCAGGACTGTTATATCAAGAAACCCTGCCTCAGGAAAAAAAAATCCAAAGCAGAGTTGGGGATGTAGCTCAGTTGGTAGAGTGCTTGCCTGGCATTCCTGAGGCCCTGGGTTCTGCTCCCAGTACCACATAAAACCAGGTGCGGTGGCACGTTCCTGTAATCCTAGCACTGAAGAGGTGGAGGAAAAAGATCAGAAGCTTGAAGTCATCTGTTCTGGTTAGCTTTCTGTTGCTATGATAAACACCGTGACCCAAAGCAACTTGGGGAAGAAAGGGTTTCTTTAACTAATATGTCCCAGTCATAGTCCATCACTGAGGGAAGTCGGGACAGGGGCAGAGGCAGGAGCCATGGAGGAGCTGCTCACCAGCTTGCCTCTAGGCTCACTGTCAGCTACTTTTCTTATGAAGTCCAGGCCCACTGCCTAGGGATGGCGCCACCCACAGTGGGCTGCACCCTCCTCTATCAACTAGAAATCGAGAAAATGCCCCATAGATATATCCATGGGCCAATCTGATGGGTTAATCCTCATCTGAGGTGCCTTCTTCCAAGATGGGTCAAGTTGACAACCAAGATTAGCCAGCACATCATCTCACAGTTCAAACGCAGCCTGAGCTACACAAGATCCTCTCTCAAAAAATAAAGAACTAAATAAAATAACATAAAATTGAAAGCATCCTTTTACAGGGGGAGAACATGGCAGAACAACAACTACAGTGAGTACTCTCCTTGCTGTTGGGGTGTCTGGATTTCAGTGACTTATGCACAATTTTCTTGTGTTGCTTTCCCGTTTCAACAGTAACCATGTGGGCTTTACAATCAGGATTTCCTTGAGTCTTGCTTTGACCTTGCTGTGGGTGCTTGCACAGGTCAAATTCACCTTTCTGGTGGCCTTGTGGGTGCTTGCACAGGTCAAATTCACCTTTCTGGTGGCCTTGTGTATATATTGCAGTTACGATCCCCATTCCTTTCTCCTCCTTCTCCTGGTAGTGTCCTGTGTGGTATTAGCATCATCTGAAAGAATGCAGGAGCCAGGGATTGGGGGCGTGGGACAGAGGACAGACTGACATCTGGTGACCTTGAGTGGAGCAAGTCCCTCTACTGACCATTTGCCCTTTGTCAAGTGAGAGTTGCCCTGTAATAGCGGATTTATGGGTGCTTAAAGTAAGATGCCCAGTAAATGGTCTGCATCCTTATGAACCCAGGATGGAAGGATGCCTCTGCTTCACCTGCTGTTTAGGGATATTTCTCCAGGTGGGGTGGGAATTTGCCAGTGTCCATACCTTCCTGCCAAGGTCCCAATGACACACCAAAGTTCACACTGAGAGCTTGCATACAGATCTTGGGAGAGGGGTCATGGGAAGGAGCTCAGGTGACCCTAAAGCATCCACACTGGAAGGTGTGTACACAGTATGGATGAAGGCTCTCCTGGGACTGTGTAGCTGGAACTCCCTTCCCCTAATCCTCTTCAGCCTATATACCTGCCCCACCCCTAGACCCTGTGGCTATATACAGTTAGGACAGAATTGCATCCAACTGGCTGAGAGGAGTGACTGAATGCTCAGATGAGGCTCCCATGACCTTCTTCACTCGCTCCTTCTAGGAGGGAATTGAACAGTCGGCAAGCCCAGCTGGGACCATTTGCAAACCGGCACAGCAGGTCTTATGAAAGAGGGTATTACTCTGCTTAGGTGCAAGGGTGTCTAATGTTCAGTCTCTCTGGTTGGCCCAGGCAAGAGAGGTTCCACCTGGGACCATCTTCTCCAGGTAGTGACCAGTGCTGAGTGTGGGCTCCCTCTCTGCCTTGGTGGCTGCGCCATAACTAATGACAAGCCAGCACATTGCTCGGTGACCTCTCACTCCCGCGGCTGCTCTCCTTCACTCCTCATAACCACTTGCAAATATTAGCTCCCTGTGCCACTTCTCCTCATCAGCAGCTTTCACAGGTGACAGGCCGGGTGCTCTACAGATGGGCGTTTAGTGTGCGCTCCAGCCCTCATGACAATCTGACGTCTGGCGAGCCATCCCTGACGTGCAGGGTGTCAGCAGGAAGATCCCCAGGGGAGTCCCAGAGGGAACTTCCGGGGCCTAGAGTTTGGGTAAGGCCAGGGCTGCTGCCAGCTCCCCAGGAACCTAGAGTTCTGTGAAAATGGATCTCCCATCATGAACTCAATGTATAGGTTTAAGAAAATGTGTTTGCTGGCCCTGCCTGAACCAAGGACTTCATTATTGTTATTTGTATATATGTGTATGTTATGTGCTAATATGTTTCTGCACATGTGTCAGGGGTGGGGGGGGACGGTGCGCATACACATGTGTCTGTGCATGTAGAAATCAGAAGGTAATGTCAAGTATCTTCCTTAATCATCCTTCACCTGATTTTTGAGACAGGGTCTCTCACTGAACTAGAGCTCACCATTTTGGTCAGACAAGCTGGCTAGCAAATCCAGGGATCCTCTTGTCTCTGCCTACCCAATGCTAAGATTATAGAGACACACCCAGCTCCTTACATGGGTGCTGGGGTCCCAAACTCAGCTCCTCATGCTTGTGTAGCAGTCACTTTTCTGACTGAGCCAACTCCCCAGCCAAATACCTTTCTCCTTTAAATTAATTAATTTTTTTAAATTTTTGTTTTGGAGATAAGGTCTTACTATGTAGCCTAGGCTGGCCTTGAACTTGAGATCCTCCTGTGACAGCGCCTCTCTCTCTCTCTCTCTCTCTCTCTCTGTGTGTGTGTGTGTGTGTGTGTGTGTGTATGGGTGTGTATGTATACAGGTGTGTGCAGATACATATGTGTGTGGAATCCAGAGGACAATTTTGGGGTGTTGTTCCTCAGGCATCATCCACGTCTTTTTTTTTTTTTTTAAGAGAGACAAGGTCTCTGGTCCGGGACCCTGCCACATAGGCCAGGCTGACTGACTTACCCAAGAGCCCCAGAGATCTGGCTGACTGCCTGCTTGGGATTAGAAGCATGCACCACCGTACCTGTTTTTTCTATGTGAATCTGGGATCGAACTCAGGTCCTCATGCTTGCAGGACAAGCACTTTGCTGACTGAGCCACCTCCTCAGTCCCTCCCTCCCCTCCTCTTTTTTGTAGGTCATATGCACCTCTACTGTCAAGCCACTTCCTCCTGAAGCAGGAAGCACCCTCGATACAGCACTGGGGGGAACCTGTGCTGGTCAGAGGGCCCTCTTTTCCCTGACCGTCCCTCTCCATGACTGTGAGCCGCAACTGCCTAAGTGCTGACCGCTCCGTGTGAGGAACCACTGAGGGCCTTTTGCCTTTCATTCATTTTGATTTGTTTCTATTCCCAGCCTCTTACATCCACACCCTGTATTGAAATCCCTGCTCTATAAATGTTTGGTCTTGATTTCTCCTGAATAGACAGTTACTAAAGTTGCTGTGGGTAGTTTAATTTTGACGCTAGCTACATTTTAGGGAAAAACAGAAAAAAATACATAAAGCTTTTCCCTCCCTGTCTCCAGAAATGTGAACTTAAATTATTTATAGTTTGATACTCACAAAACAGAGAATGGACTGCGGGTGTTTATGTAGCAGAGAAACTCAGGGGAGTGTGACTGTGGAGAGAACGGGAACTCTTGGATAACAGAATGCAGTCACCCAGGGAGTCACGGGGGCTGATTCTGTGACCTCTGTGCCTAGCAGAGTTCCCAACCTGTGACGTGTCTGTCCAGTTACTCTAGTTAGAAAACAGAGAGCATGTTAGTTACTTTTCTCCTTGCCGTGACAAACTGTCTGACTCGGACAGTATGTCGAGGTGGAAGGGTTGATTCTGACTCGCGGTTTGAGGGTGAACGTTCATCACAGCGTGGGGGGTGGTGGGGGAAGCGTGGTAACAGGAACAGACAGGAGGCAGGCTGGATGCTGGTGCTCAGCTCACTTTCTCCTCTGTATTCAGCCCAGGATCTCAACCCACAGGTGGGACCGTTCACGTTCAGGGTGGGACTTCCCACCTCAGCTAACCTAATCTAGAAACCCTCTCACAGGCAGGCCTGGTGGTTTGTTTCCATGGTAATTATAAATCTCATCAGGTTGACAATTAAGATTAACTGCCACGGTGGGTATGCCAGGTGATCTCAATAAGCAAATGCTTGGATCAATGGGGCAAAATAAATAAATAAAAGGAAGCACTCTGGAAAATACCAAGCCCTTCAAAGCTTGCTGCTGCACATTGTACCCGGTGGTGACAGGTGGCAGTCAAACAAGACTGGCTGTGCCTAGACTCCATCACCTACAGTGTGACAGAGGCCAGGGCCAATGTGAAAACATCAAACTCCAGCTCTCTCCGGGGATCCTAGGAAGTCATGAGGTTCTGAGTTGCCTCTCAGGGTGGTTTTGCATGGTCCTTCTTCTGTTCTCGCTCAATCACCCCATCTCCCATTCTGAGAGTTCCATGGATGTTTTGTTTTCTCTGTTACAGGAGATACTGGCACCCATGAAGCCATGGCCCCTGTCATCGTGGTTGCCCCGGGCAACAGAAGTGTGGTAGCAGGGTCCAGTGAGACTACCTTGGAGTGCATAGCCAATGCCAGGTACAGGGTGGGCTCTGGATGTGGGAACATGGGAGACATCCCTCATTTGAAAACCCAGACCCTGAAATACTTTAAAAATCTTGGACTTTAAGCCTTGACATGATGCCGCAGTGAAAATCCCAACCTGATCTCATGTGTCTGATGCAGTCAAAACACAGATGTGCTAAAAACGTGGCAAGGGATTCCCAGGCTGGAGTTTAGATGGTCACACCTCCCATGTAGCTGTGGGTCCTCTAGTAGTATTTATTTTAAGCATTCTTTTCCTGGGCAAATGGAATCATTAGCATGTATGGTCCATTGCTGCCGCAATTAGCTATCCTTGCTCAATAGCCCTTGAGCATAATGTCTCGTTGAGGAGAGCTGTGAGGGAGTGGAGCTGTATCTGGATTGATTTTTAAATGTCCATTGTTCAACCCGCCATGGCTCCTGGTAGAATTAGCTTTGTCAAGCTCGTGCTGAACGCCTGAAATGATTATTATTGCCATCTACATGATTCACCACCACTGTCACCGATGCCCTTGCACTCTTTCACAGGCCTGTGGAGGAGCTGAGTGTGCACTGGAAGAGAAACGGAGTTCGACTCACAAGTGGACTGCACAGCTATGGGAGGCGCCTCACCATCAGCAACCCGACATCGGCAGACACCGGGCTGTACGTGTGCGAGGCGACACTCCGTGGAAGCGCATTTGAGCCAGCCAGGGCCAAAGCCTTCCTCTCTATCATAGGTAATGCTCAGGCCAGCAGTGGTGCTGGCTTCAGTCTCGGGTAGCTCTCCATACCCATAGTTCCAGGCAGACAAGATAGCTGCTATGTGTCCCACTGACTTGATGTATTTGTGGTGTTTGTGCATATGTGCCACCTCTGCAGATGCAAGCCAGAGGTGGACACCAGGTGTCTCTCCTCTGCAACCCTCCATTTTATTTTTTTGAGACAGAGTCTCTTAGTGGGACCTTGAGCTTGCCAATTTGGCTAGCTGGTCAACCAGCTCCCAGGATCCACCTGTCTCCAGCCCCAGCGCTGAGATCATAGATGATCTTCTGGTGCACCTGGCTTTTTACATGGGTGCAGCAGGTCCTCATGCTTCTGCTGTGAACAAGTTACTGATTTAGCCACCTCCTCCATCCCCACCGACTTTTGTTTTTAATCACATTGATGTGTTTGTTTCTTTGTTTGTTGTACATGAATATGTATGTCGGGGGAGGGGGTGCTCACATCCCACAGGATGCACACAGAGGACAACCTGTAAGAGTTCTCTCCTTCCACCCTGTGTCCTGGGGCTCAAAGTCAGCCGTCAGGCTTGCCTGAGCACCCCCTTTTACAGCTGAGCCATCTCGCTGGGCCCCCACTGACTTTATTTTGAATGCACTAAATGGCAAGTTAATCCCATTTGTTTTCAAAAGCCAAAGTAGGCGTGTCCCTCATACCTTCTGAGCACAGCTGTACTTGTTACTTTTCTCATCACTGAGACAGAACACTGGACAGAAATAGCTCAGGACAGGACAGACTTAACTTTGGTTTACAGTTTTCAAGGCATACAGTTCCCTGTAGTGTGGAAGGCATGGTGGATGGTTTGGCTCTATTGGTGGGACCTTGGAACTCTTAAGAGCTTAGCCCAAGTTCGGGCTGGATTATAACCCTAGAAGGTCTGTACCCTGTAATCAAACTCCACCAAAAGTTCCAAAGTGTCCACCAGTTGGGGACCAAACACTGAAATATGGGAGCCCATGGGGGACATTTCACACTCATACCATAACTACCTGCCACCATAAAGCTTGAGGGTGGAGATAGGGCATTTCAGATATTGCCTGCATCTCCTGGCCTTTCTCTTGCCCCAAACTTCTCCCCAAGTCTCCCTGGCTTTTACCATCTGTGCTCAGAAGTCAGCCTATGTGGCCTTGACTCAGAAGGAGATGGGAAGAGCTGGCTGTTACCTTGGGTTGGACCGAAAGGTAAGAACAGAGGTAGTTTTAAAGAGAAGGCTAAAGGTGAAGTGAAACGCACCTGAGCTGCCTCTCTCTAAACGCTGGGAGAGCACAGTCCTGGAAGCATGACTCTGGCTGTGGCTGAGAGATCTGTAAGCTTATTACTAGATTATGACACGGCACACATTACACTGGAGGAAAGCACCCACATTTTATTTTCCCAGCTTCCTGCACGGTCACCAGTTTGTTCTTAAAATGACTGCAGCTGCTGTCCAGGTGACCCATACTCCTCCGTGGAAGCCACTGCTGATGGAGGGTACCTCCAAGGCCACTTCACTCGTCTCCTTTCTGAAATGAAAGGAATTGAAAACGGAGGGGAAGAAAACCTCCCAGAACAATTGCTCCTTCAAAAATACATCTTGCGGTTTGCCATTTTGCAAAATAAGAAAGGAAAAAGCAGACAGATCCCCGTGGAATTAGCAAGCATCAAGGAGTGTTGCATAGAAGGCCATTCCCTGAGCATCCTCATGCTCGTTAGACATCAGGAGAGGGCTCTGTGCTCTCTGAGTGACTCTGATGAACACAGCCTCTCAGCCCCCTCCAGAAGAGTCATAAGGCTGGTCAGAGAGTCTGAGCCTCAGACCAGACCAGCGCCACCAATCACTGCTGATCCCACCCAAGGGTTTGCGCTCTCCTCTGGCTGCCAGTGTTAGATGTGGATGTGAAACCCACATCCCGCTCCCAGCAGAGACTTCCATCGAGGTTGATCTATGGCTGTTGGGGCACAGTGTATTATAGATTGAACTGAAATTAAAATTTGTGATGTGTAAATCTCTGGCAGACAGGACTATATTGTGTTAAAAACATTTTAAGGTAATTTAAACAAGGGAGGAAATTTATCTCCCTTTAAACTCAAATGTTTGTCTCCATCACCATTTCTTTCTCAAGTATTTAAATCTATCATCCTAACTTTGATCTTCAATTCATATCAGAATCAGCTTTTGTGCTTAGCATTCATCATCACTCATGTTCTGACTTTTAAAGATACAGGAAGATACTTCCATTCTTTTGTGTTTATATGTGTGTATGTGTGTGTACACAGTCATGTATATGTTGGCATCGAATATGTTCCTCAGTCACTCTCAACCTTATTTTTGAGATTAAAAAAAATGGGTAGATGTGGTGTGTGTGTGTGTGTGTGTGTGTGTGTGTGTGTGTGTGTGTGTGTGTGTGTGTAAAGCTGCCTGCATAAGCCTGTAGAGAGTGTCAGATCTCCTGGAACTGGAGTCAAAGGCAAGTGTGAACCTCCTGATGTGGGTGGGTGCTTGGGACTGAACTAGGGTCCTCTGCTAGAGCAGTACATACTCCTAAGCACTGAGCCATCTCTCCAGCCCGTCATCTACCTTGGTTTTTGAGACAGGGTCTCTCACTGAACCTGCAACTCACCAATTCATCTAGACTGGCTGGCCATCAAGCTTCAGGGATCACCCTGTCTCCTCCCACTCCACCCATCAGTGTTAGAGTTACAGGGGCAGGGTGGAATGCCCCATCTTTTTACATGCGTACTGGGGACACACACTCAGGTCCCCACGCTTCTGCAGCAACCACTTCACCCACAGAGCCACCTCTCAGCCCCAATGCTTCCTATCTTGATAAGGGTGACTTAAAATCCCTTTTGTTTAGAAATTGTGACAGGTAGAATTTTGTGGTTGCCTCACACTGGAGAAAGTATCTCTGTTGATTCAAAGGACTCAGAGATTGTCACCACGCCTGGCCACCACATCAGGGAAGGATCCTGGGAAAGCGTGACCAATCTCCCAGACTGTCACCAGCAGAGCTGGGCAGAGAGGTATTGATATGAGCATGCAGATGAATGAAAACAGAAAGGAATCGCCTTCCAATTACACGTATTTCACACTGATGAGACGAGACAGACGGCGGCAGCTGTTTACTCTGCCTGTCAGCTTCCAGTTGGATTGCTCAATTCCTGTAGTCTAAACAGGAATGTAAGCTCTGCTCAATGGAAGGCGCCTGGCGCCCACCCTGCAGAGCCCAGAGCCCTGTCCCCCGACCTCCTCACTGCTCAGTTGTCCTGCTGTCCCTGGGCCTGGCCTCTTCTCCTCCTATGATGTAACAGCTCGCAGCTGCTGAGACACCATGCCACTGCTCTGACACTCAGAGCAGGCTATGGACACGGCCCTGCCTCCCTATGGTGCCTGACTTCCACTGCGCCACCACCTTCCCCTTCCTAGTGGCGTCTTCCAGGAATAGGAACCAACTTTGCCTACCGTGGTGGGTGGGAGGTGCTGGTGATGCCATCGAGGAAAAGCCCCATGCATGAAACTGCTGATGGACTGTGGGCTTTGCTGTGCTGTGTGCTGCCAGTGCTGTTCTAGACTGGAGATTGTCCATGGCCTGCTTTGGTGGAGGCAAACCCTAGACCTGGATGTGTCCTCTCAGGCTCTGAGCAGATGTCTGTGACTGACTTTGGATGCCCACCCTTCAGCATCTGGCAAGCTTACCTGTCATTGAGACCAGGTGTCCCTTAAAAATCTCCCAGAAGTCGCTGCAAGAAGTCTCAGCTGTGCTCTGTAGCAACTGGCACATGAGAGCAAGGTATGTGGCAGGGAGGTGTAAGCACAGGCGTTAGGGTTCGCTGCTAGCTGCACTGGTAACTGGCTTTGATGAGGGTCATTGATGTTGTTGACCTTGGCTCCAATCTTTCACATGGAGAGGTGGTAGATGACCTACTGGCCCACACAGTGGAAAGGTGGTAGATGAGCTGCTGGCCCACACAGTGGAGAGGTGGTAGATGAACTGCTGGTCCACACAGTGGAGAGGTGGTAGATGACCTACTGGCCCACACAGTGGAGAGGTGGTAGATGAGCTGCTGAACCACACAGTGGAGAGGTGGTAGATGAGCTGCTGGCCCACACAGTGGAGAGGTGGTAGATGAACTGCTGGTCCACACAGTGGAGAGGTGGTAGATGACCTACTGGCCCACACAGTGGAGAGGTGGTAGATGACCTACTGGCCCACACAGTGGAGAGGTGGTAGACGACCTACTGGCCCACACAGTGGAGAGGTGGTAGATGACCTACTGACCCACACAGTGGAGAGGTGGTAAACGAGCGTACTGGCCCACACAGTGGAGAAGCAAGGAAGCAAGCTCACTGCAGAAGTGCTGAATGGATGGCTTCACATGCTGTTGCCATGACTCTGTCATAGCCTATGCTGCATGGTGCTGCTGATGGGTGAATACATCACATTAAAGCATGTGCACATCACACTCTTTCCACACTGAGAGCCAGGATGCTCTCAACATCCATGGAAGCATTGGTGCTTTCTTCAGGAGAAAGGATGGCAACGGTGATGGTTAGCTTTAACTGTCAACGTGACAGTCTAGGATCACCTGGAAAGAGTCTCAGGGGGGGGGGGGGACTGTCTAGCTCAGGTTGGCTTGTGGGCGTGTCTAGGAGGGATTGCGTTAATGAAATTAATTACTGTAGGAAGACCCATCCTGAAAGTGGACAGTGCCATCTCTTGACTTTGAGCCCTAGACCATGGAGAAAGCAAGTTAAGCACGAAGCATGCATGCAATCGTGGTTTCTGGTCTTGACTGCAGATGAGATGCAACTGGCTGTTTTAAGTCTCTCCCATCTGGTCCTCCTGCTCTGATGGACTGCAGCCTGGAAGCATGAGCTAAAGTAAACCCTGTCTCCCCTAAGTTGCTTTTTGTCGGGGTATCTTATCCCAGCAACAGAAATGACAGCAGGGCAGTGGCTCTCACCAAGTATAGCATC